TGTTTTACGGGGAAGCCCTGGCTGGAGTGGATAGTCTAGGGGTGAGATGGCTTTGTTTCTTCTTCTCAGAGAACTGATGTGCCCAATAGCTCCTCTTCTATAAGGCACTAAAGTGTTATTTCAAAATAACTCACATTATTTCGAAATAACAAGGTGAGCATCCATACAGCAAGTGTGTTATTTTGAAATAACAGGCTTCTTATTTCAGAATAACAAACCCTCGTTTCGCAAGGAATAACTCCTATTTCAAAATAGCTATTTCGAAATAGTGGTAATGTGGACACTCCACTGCTGCTATTTCGAAATAGCTCCTCTCAAGAGCCATTCAAAGTAATTACTCCCCAGTGCCTCCTGGGGCTCTACATTGAAGATGCATGTCCACATTAGGGGAATGTCTATACAGCAATATTATTTCGGAGTAACAGCCATTATTCCAAAATAACTATGTGAGCGTCTACACAGCCATTCTGTTATTTTGAAATAATTTTGAAACAGCAGTGGCTTATTCCAAAATCTGTAAACCTCATTCTACGAAAAATAACGCCTATTCCGAATAGCTATTTCAGAATACGGTGTGTGTAGATGCTCCGCTGTTGCTATTTCAAAATAGCCCCTTTCCAGTCTAAGTTATTCCTCCCCAGTGCCTCCTGGGGCTCTAAATCAAGGTAGCATGACATTAGGGAAGCCTGACTTAGACTAATTTTGAGGCTTTTCTGCAGTGTAGATGTACTATTTCAAAATAAGCTATTTTGGAATAACTATTCCAGAATAGCTTATTTCAAAATTGATGTGTGGTGTAGATATATAAATGCCCATTTCCATTAATTCCCTCTAAAAGCATCTGGCACCCAGGACTATTAGAATACAGAATACAGGGCTAGATGGACTGACCTAGTCTGGCATTCTTATGTACTTTCAGATCTATCATCACAGACTGTGATAAGGACTAAAATAATCATATTTTCCTGAAAATTTTATTTAGGTAGCTTCTTAATGTTTATGCCTTATAGAAGCTGAAGGATGAGCATTTGAAAATCTTGGAAGATTCAGATATTAATAGTTAATTCAGATATTAATGGTTAATATCTCTATAGCAGTGGCTCTGAAAGTGTGGTCTGCCTTCTAGGTGGGTCGTGGCTCGAGGCTCAGCCCCCTAGTGGTCCAGTTCTGCCCCTGCCTGCAAGGTCGGAGCACCAGTGCTGGCTTCCCACTGTGCGTAGGGGAGCCCTGAGTCTCGCGGGCCAGGTCCAGCTTGCAGGGGAAACAAGGGTCCCAGATGGGGGAACTGCAGGGCAGGGAAGCACTGCCTGGAGGCTTTCCCTGCTGTTTCAATTGGCCAGAATCACAGCCAATGGGCGCAGCGGGAGGGGTGCCTGGGAATGGTGGGGGATATGGTGTGTGTGCAAAGCTAGGTAAATGCCTCCCATCCTCCACATGCCCAGACCCTGCACTCCCACCCTGCTCCTGCACCCTCCATCCCAGACCCCTCCACCCCCCGGCCCACTCCTGCACCCTCCATCCTGGCTAGACCCCCAACCCCCAGCCCACTCCAGAACCTATCTTCCACTCAGATCTTTCTCCCTCATCTGCATCCCACCTCCTACCCAGCTCCTACACCCCCCTCACTATCCCACTCCTTGACAACCTCCTCCTGCACACTGAACCCCTTATTTTTGGTCCCATCCCAGAACCTTAGGCGTCCACAAAATCTACTAACCCTGGGACCCAAGAAGAGTTTATCTGGCCTATGGGAATCCCTGAACCTTGGTTCTCCCTGCCTCTTCTCCCCTCATGGGGCTGGAGTTTGGTGTCTCAGTTCGGAGCCACACCAGTGAAGGTGTGGGGGAGAAGAGTTGGGGGAGAGGTGGCTTCTCATTTTGTGTTGCCTCCAACTGATTTTTCTGTTGGCCTGACCCAAAAAAAGATTCCCCATTCCTGCCATAAATAAAGACAATGTTGAGCCCTTTTGTGTTGGACATAAATTAATATTTTACTTTATTTGTAATTAAGTTTGGTAAACTAACATGATAAAGTTAAAGCACTTAATCTGTTTAATTATTTTGATTCTGTTTAATAATATTTCCTTTCCTTTCTTCCCAGTTATATATACCCCTTACTTGCATGTTCTTGTGCTCCAGTAGGCTAATATAAGCTAAGAGAAGGCATTTTGTTATCACAGGAGGTTGGCTGTTGGATTGCAGAAAGATTTATGTTGAGCAGGGTGGGCAATGGGCCAAAAAGTTTGAGAGCCACTGCTCTATGGTATTTTGTAACTTCCACTCATACCTGACACCTAGAGAAACTTCACACAAAAGGCCTGACAGAAACCTGAGAATTATCTTCCATGTGGTGAAACAGAGGCAAAGATATTAAGTGACCCAGCTAATGGTTACAGAGGGCGTGTGTGTTAGAGATAGGATTGAATACAGGCACTACTGACCATTTCTCCCTATGGGTACGTCTACACTACAGCGCTAATTCGAACTAACTTCGTTCAAATTAGTTAATTCGAACTAAGCTAATTTGAACTAACGCGTCTAGAACTAAAAACTAGTTTGAATTAGCATTTTGCTAATTCGAACTAGCAAGTCCACATTGAGTGGACCCTGAACAGGGCTTAAGGATGGCCGGAAGCAGTGCCGGCAGGGCATCAGAGGAGGACTTAGAGCGTGGAGATGCTGTCTCAGGCTAGCCAAGGGCTGCGCTTAAAGGGTCCCAACCCCCACCCCGGACACACAGTTCTAAGGGGTGCCCCTCTTGCAAGGCAGTCCTGGCTTGGATTGCCCGGAGTACCCACACTGGGCACATCACAGCACTCGGCCATCAGCCCGGCTGGA